GTCGTCCTTGCATCTGTTCAGGCGCCAACTTTTAGTGTGCTTCCTACAAGAATCGCAATAATGTTAACATCGTCGGTCGGCGAGGTTGGCACATGCCGAAGGACGACTGCCGCCATGGCGAATGCTGACAGTCATCCTTCACCATACAAACGTCACATGCAGTCGCGTCGATGAGTTATACAAGATAGGACTCATGGACTCACTCTAACTTAGCGTTGAGCGGCGCTTTGCGCTATGTGGGGCCGCGAGGACACACACCTGTACTTGGCCGACATGGCGTCATGCCATTGCAACCAGGTAATACTAAACGTGTTGGGAATTGTATGCCCATGAAAATGTATTGCTGATTGTATGCTGGCCAGAACTCTAACCAATCGGTCAAATCTGACGAATAATCTGACTTTAGCGCGCCGGATAGCGTCGACGCTAGAATTTAGACTCCCGCGGTGGGAGAATTAAACGCTAAAAGCTGACTGAAAAAATACAGTTTGGAGTTTTAGCGAGTGGGGATGCTTTTTATGGAATTCGCACGCGCGGTGAGCCACTTTGCTCCTTTTTAATATCCAATCAGAGTCCATCATACCTTGCTTCTTACACACGATTGGCTATAATACTGGCAGAAGAGGTTACAATTTTGAACTGTTTGAATTTTGTAGAGCTTTGTGTGATGCTGCTCGAGAGACTTGTGCACTGATGAGTGCACTCGGGCTATATCCAATTTGGTTCTCCCCTTACAGCTAAAATTATGTTGTGGCCTCGGTTGGGTCGCAATGCCGTGACGGCTCTGGTGGGCCAACGCGGTGGCGCAAGACGTCTTACGCCACCCGCCCGCGCAACCACGTGACTACTCCAGTAGGAAGGTGTACGGCACCGACACAGACTGATGGTGGAATGAGGGAAGACCACATTCATTGGTTTAACAGGCAAGTGGTGATGTTACTGAAGTATAGACCTGTTCGAATTGACCGAGTCCGGGATACCACATCGAATGATCTTGCTCTCATACACAGCCTACATAATTAATTATCTCAATGCTCCTTGCATCAACCGCCATCACATGAGTAGAATATATCGCAACAGGGTGTGATGAATCTACGCAGCGATTTTCGTGATTTCACGGCATCTGATTGGACAAATTGGACAATTTTGAATTCGCAAGGTGACCTGCCTTGCGAATTCCAAAAAGAGACAGGCACATGAAAAATAAAAATCACCAATACAAACTTGAAGATATATTTAATTGAATCTGTACAATTTCAGAATTATTTATGGAATTCGCAAGGTGGTTCACCTTGCGCAGCATACAAAATTGCCTATTTCACCTTGCTTTTTCTGGTTAATGAAGTAGTAATGCACCGTTCATCAACAACAGGAGGATGAGAGAAGTGGTCATATTAGAGAGGTTTCGCAAACGTCCCATTCCCAGATCTCAAACCTCTAAAACATAATTATTCTATGGGAAACCTGCCAAACCTAGTTATTCTTCCCATATGATGCACGTCATCTAAAAACTTCCAACTGGCCAATATAAGTGTGGAGGTTTTACTATTTAACGTACAATTAATGTAGTTAAACCCAAAAACAAAATACGTTAAATACCGATTTCATGCGTTTTATCACTACAGTGGGAGGTGAAAGGTCCCAACTGCCTCCGGATATTATATACGGATAAATGTCACATACAAAAATCAAGATACATCTCAGCGGCCACTTCTATGGCCAAATAACCAAGCGCCCATGTAAAATACCGATAGGTTAAATATCTATTTCTGGACCAATTCATCACCAAATTTGAATCTGAGACGTAGAATTTCTTCACCACATTGAGATCTGTCGATTCTACGTCTCAATTTGCTGAAAATTTGAGTACTGAATATGAAATAGAAGTCAGAAAATTTCGTGAAAAGTTGGTAGTTTATAGGTGACGAGCATCATAGAATGTGCCGTTTGTATCGGCACCCATCCCAATCCCGGATACCAACCGAATCGACATGGCCCTCACCGACAAACGCCTGTGATTGAGGCTGACAACGAGAAGGAATTGGCAAGTCGCGAGAACCAACTGGAATTCGATCGGTTTATGTACGAATCGGATTTGAAATGACGTGAGTTGGATCTTGATGAAAGAAAGGCTGAACGTGAACACCAATTGACACTAGAGAGACACCAATTGACACTAGAGAGTGAAAAATTGTCTAAACCTGTTGAAACCTGTAATTGATGGTACAAAGTAAATTTTATACACAACAGTACACAATTAACACTTTGTAATTACTCCGATGTTAGATACTACAGTAGTACTCATTTAGAGTTGGTGGTCGTATATCAAAGTAGGACGATATTTGATTCCCACCGTAGTAGCAACAGTTGCAATTCAAGAGATTTGTAAGTGAACAAGAGGTCTATTTGGTCATAAACATGGCGACAAGGACAACACTTCCAACATTCGACAGCATGATTTTGTGTTGCATCTTGTAGGTGATAAAACCCCACAATGTTTTCATACGTCCAAAGTTCCATTCTACACCTTGGCACACACGACTCATGGAGGCGTTGAAAAGCAGCTTGGGCTCATCCAAGTTGTTTCCTCTGTAGCCAAGAAATTATCCACTTTGAAATTGGATAGGCCGGGTCTCCATAAATGTAGTACCCATGGAAGATATCCGCGTTGGTGTCAAAGTACTCTTACAGCGAACTTGATGGAGCTGACGCCTGTAATCGCAATGTTACACGATCGGATCAGTTCTCACCTGGTTGACAGAAACTTTCGTCGTCGCATCTTTGCTGGTGATTTGGTCGTCAACTTTGCTCCATGGAAGCGCACTATTCTTCGATCAAAGTAACCGTTTCATTATTTTTATCATGGCGTGAATAGAATTTCTAAAAATAACACATGAAAATGATGTGTTGTGATGTTATATTTGGAAGCAAATATGGCTAACAAAGTTGGTCAACTCTGATGTTATATTTGACACAGGAACTTTCTATGCCACACAACATGAGCCAATGTAAACCGACCAGCCCGAGACTCAATCTGCGTGTTCAAAGGCATTATCTCTACATAATGACGTATCATAGCGGTCGCTACGAGCTAAATTCATGAGTAATTTACTTACAAAGTAGGTTATATTTGCTTTTTTGTTGCTTTGAGGACACATCACTCATGCTACAATAGGCTGCAAAACCAGTTTGCAAGGTGTTTCATGAGAATAGTGACGGGGCAGGATATAACTAGGTACCACACGAAATCGGGCTTATTTTTGTCGGACACTCATTAACTTTACAATATCCGCTGAACAGATTAAAAATCGAAGAATTTCCAAAAGACCGCTAGATTTCCTAAATACTACCATAAATAACTTTTTGTGAAGTGATTTGGATATTAGCAACTAGCCTCAAAATATAACTGGTCTTGAGCTGGGATTGAACTCGGGACCGATTACAATGACCGGTAGCACGATTTAGAAATCACTTTCAGTCTGAGGATACCTCCGCGATTATATTGTGGTGCAGTGGATAACCTGGTGAAATGCTGGGTGACTATTGCAAGTAGCACTTTGAGTGTGAGGGGTGAAAGATAGCATGGGGCCTTACGGCAGTGCGACAAAACTCTTTTTTGAACATAATCGTTTATATACAAAATCGTATCATAAAAAATGCTTGGCCTCGACAGTAACACTAAACTTATGGGCTTTGCTACGAATTGGGGGAAAACAAACCACGCATTGAATGGCGGCTGTATCTGCTGCGGCTGACCGCAAATCTTTCTACCCGACGGGAACGCGACTGGCGCTGCACTTCAGCTCGTCGCGACGCATTCGAATGAGCCATCGATTCATACCTCGCCAACACGGCTTGGTAAGAGTCTTGGTCGCTGGCTCACAATGGGAGGAGGGACACATGATAGTTTGTCAATGCAAACGTCATGCGTTGGATATTGTCGAAACACTTGTGCCCCCACGTAAAATTTGCATACGATACAAGCAGACACGGCCAAAAACGTTTTCCACAAGCACGCGGTCAGCCGACACTTGACGGTTCCGCTCAACGTCGTCGCGTTCCAGTAGGCCTCTTGGTGGGTTCTTCTTTGGATGCACACCTCGCAAGTCTGTCATCACGTCGTAGTACCCCTTGTCAACTAAAAACGCCCACATGGAACCGTGAGTTCCTGCCTGCTCGTCGTGGTCTTCGATGTTCAGTTCTTCGTCGGACTTCTTTAGCGCTTGACGGTGAACGGCCAAGCGGCTGTTCAAAATGGTCAAGTCAGCAACGGAACCAAGCTCGTAGTTGCTCATGTCGACCATCAATCCTTCGGGTGACACGGACGCCTCGATCTTCAACCCGTAGATCTTGTGTTTGCCGCTGAAATACACCTTTGCTTCGCCGTGACGTCCGCCTGGTCGTTCCATGGGCTGAAACTTGACATCGGTAGCATACATCGCGTAAGGATAGTTATCGAACAACTTGTTCTTGACTCGCAGCTCTGACATAGTCGGGGTGCGGACGAAATGTCTCGAAAACACGGGCTCGACGACGTCGATTACTCGAAGCACCATCTTTTGAAATGTAGGCGCCTTGAAGCCGAAGTCGATGGCGTGCTTCTCCCATGCTTGGTAGTGCTTCAGTACGGTGAGGGTCATGAACAGCGCGTCCTTTGGGCTTGTCTTGCACTTTGATCCACGACCTCCCGTCCACCTTGCTGTCAACTGCACCTGGATGATATCCCACAGGACTTGAAATTCGGCTGCAGTGAAGTTCGTAATGACACGGAAGCCTTCGTCACCAGACTCTTGAAGGACGTGGTCGATGATGGGGCTCGATGAGTCACAGGTGTCGTTGAGGCGCTCCGTAGCATGTCCGTACTGGTTCAAGCATTCCTGGAGGAACACTTCGTCCGACACAGCGCGGTCTTGAAGGCGGCCGATCATGGCGGTGACGTTGAGAACCATTTGATAGATAGTTGAAATTGGAATGTGTGGTCTGCAGCACGATATGCATCGTTTGGCGTGCAAGCAATCGCGCCGAATGTTGGAAATTTGGCGGCAGCCAAAGGGAATTGAGAGTTTTTGGTGACCATGAAAAGTCGTAAGAAGTCGAGTTATTTCGAATAATGTACATATTTTGATCAGCATGGTGCTTCCTGAATAGGTTTGGCTGTAATTTGGAAATTTGGCGGTCTAAAACCAAATATCAGGATATTTGCACTTCAGACACTATCTAATTATCATGAACACTATTTCGGATAGAAGTACCTCGATATTGTAAATAGCACAGTTTTTGCTCAAGACACGAGTGACTGATTTTGGGGCCTAATGTTGCAATCGCCATATTTCTAGCATTGAACGATAGCGTGCAAATAAGTTTGCAATATCTACACTTATTGCACCGCTCGTAGACAAGCCGTCAGAGAGATAGTCGATGTCAATGTCATGTACTTTCTTAGCTAGCTAACGAAGTTGATACTTCCTCTATTCCGTAAAGGTGGAGACATTCGGCTTTGCCTATATTTAGCCTTAGCTTTTGTATACTCTGTATTCCGAAAAATAGTAATTTTATTCAAAAACAAAATTGTACGACGTGAATCAGCATGATATCATGCAGCTCATTCATTATCCCCGTGGTTCAAATCTTGAACAAGTGTGCAGAAGCCTAGGTCGAGGACATTGAAGTCCGGACTCATGGCTGGCTGGGCAACAAGCTGAATCTTCCAACCATCCGAACAGCCAGCGGCTGTCACAGCGGCGTCATCTACTTCGACGTGGGGGCGCGCGTTGTCTTGCTGAATGTAGATCGGGTGAGCTCGAGGGCCTGGCCAGGCTTGCTTGATGGTTGGAATGACGTGATCCAAGAGGTACTGGCGGTACAAAGGCTTCGTCACGACAATTGGGGTGGTAATCAATGTACCACGCGCCCGATTCTTGCTGCTCCGCTGCGCTGGGAGCACGGAAACAAAAGGCCACATCCCAACCTTACCGTCCCACATCGTCTTGCGTGCGTGGTCGAAACGCGGTCGTGCCACTGCCGCCAGAAACATCACCTTGATGATGTGTCGCTTGGGCTTGCACTTGCGTACCGGCGTTGCTTCGTCGTGCCAGAGGTAGTAGTACCGCCGATTGACTTCCGTGAGATAGAACCACTTCTCGTCGATATGCACACAATCGCACATTTCGTGCCAGACCATATCGTTGTTCGCCGTTTCTTGAACGAACGATCGGGCAAATGCAACACGGTCAGCCTTGTACTGATCTGTGACCATGGGCTTCAGGCGGCTAGTACGACGCTGAAGCTTCTTTGTCTGAAGGATCCGCCAAAGGGTAGTTCTTGGAATGCCGCTAGACACCGCCAAGGACTCAAAAGTGCGTCGAAGGACCGGAGGGACCTTCTTGATGGCTGTCTCGATGTCAAACATGGTGCGGGCTGGGCGTCGTCCACAACGGCCTTTTTTCTTCAGTGCCACGTTTGCGATACCATTTTGTGTCTTCGTCCTCTGTCCTCGTCTCTAGATCTTGGACAAGGTCTGCCTTGAGATACCATATTGCTCCAGAAGCTCCTTTGCCTTGCCCTTAGGTAGGCGGCCGTCTACCTTGTGTACCAAGAGCTCGTGGTACAGACATAGCCGTTTATCATTGGGCAGGTCGTGTTTGGACGTGGAGCGCGTCATTATGTATGATCGGAAACTCCACTTCCAGAAATCCGGGGTTCTGCGGGGTGCTGGCAATATCTACGCAACGAGACGAGTCGTTTGCGCTTGATTTGAGCTCAATCGGATAATGAATGACTGAGTTACGGGTATTTTTAGATCGAAACATACCTGTTTTGGGGGGAATTAGAAATATCGGATAATCGACCGGATGCACATACTCCTTGCATAGATCAGTAGAGTAATAAAAATTTCCAGCGCGGCCCAAACCATTCAATTATCACTTTGCAATGACGTCGAAGGACAAGATCAAGTGCATGGTACCGGGATGTGGCTTGATCACGTGGTACTCAAACTTCCCAAACCACGTGAAAGCCAAGCATTGCCACTTCCCGGAACATCGCAACATTCGTCAACCGTGGGGCTGCATCGTGAACGCCGCGGTGGAGCTCCACTCCAGTACAGTCAAGTCGTCTGAACGCCGTCCAAACACATCACGAAGATCAAGTCTCCGCTGTGGAGATCGACTAGAATGTGCCCGATGATATGTCGACGCAAGAATTGGCGCCATCCGGGACGGGCACACCGGCAACTTCTGGTGAGCGATGTCGTCTGATGTTGCGGGGGTAGAAGCAGTTAAGGAAGCAGCGGCGGCGGCGAAGCGTGGACGTCGCCTGGGAAGAATGGCTAAGCAATTGACGTAGAAGTGCTTTCCCTGTTGTGTTGATTTCAAACATTTGAATTGCCAGGGCCCTGCGCGTTTAGATACTTTGATCAAATTAAAGTTTCTTTGGATTTAATTTCACACTTCTGAGTTTTCAGGGCCTGGCGTGTTACCATACTTTATTCAAATGCGAGTATTCAACTAGGATTAGAACAAGAGAATGTAAATTATCTAGATTATCTAGATATAGTGAATGTACAGTACAAGAAGCTCTAGATTATCTTGAAATACTGAATGTACCAGTTGCTCTAGATTATCTAGAAATACTGTATGTAATTGATATGAGTTCACATTCCTGCCACATAAATTTTGCTGAAAACCACAGAACAGACGCCACCTGTCAACTCATGGGTTGAGGTAGAATCTCGAGTGATGCGACTGCGCTTCAAGGTACTTAAAAAGGGAATTGTATTACATCTGAATCGTTGGTACGTACACTGCGTAGTCCGGGGTAATCAATAATCGGATGGTGGCAAGGCATACAGTAGAATACAAATGCATATGATAGGAATGAACGTACAGTCAATAACTCTGGCTCGAGAGTTAATCTGAGGCAGCACAATAGCTCGTTCAACTGGTCAGAGGTAGTTCTGTAATGAGATATATATGTGAAGTCTATGTCTGCCCATAAGTGCTCAAAATGAATAGCTCCATGGGGCCACAAGAATTATGCCGATAACTCAGGCTGTAGAGTGAATCTGTGGCAGCACAATGGCTCGTTGCGCTGGCCAGAGGCAGTTCTGTAGTGTAGTATGTGTGGAGGATATGCCTGCCGGAAGTAAGCAAGCTACAGTATATGTGTACCCCGCGAGTAGCTGAATAATTATGGAGAATCAATTACTCTGGGTTGCGTTGTGCTTAGTTGTTCGCAGTTTGTGAAACGACCAGGTAGTATTTTGTAATTTGCTACAACGAAAGTATAAAATATTGCAATAGTATGAAGTTCATTTGGGAACATTGGTTATACGGTTTCGTTCCTCAGAAACACACATGAAACTTATTTAGTAACTGTTGGGTAGTTTTTTTCAATTTGCTACTCCAAGAGTATACAAATCTTCAATGTAACGAACACACATAACGCATACTAGTACAAAGGAATATCAAAGGGCTACATCAAATTGCTAGCTCAACTGCTGGCATGATTCAGGACTCTCGAATGCTAGTCTTGCCTTACTAGCAGAAATGGATTTGCCCGTCGTTGATGCGAGCAACAACGACGGGCAAAGCCTCTACTATGCTGCATGAGCTCCTCTCATTATCATTCTATTAGTTGTGAATAAGGTATCTGCAAAGCAAGGCTAGTTATTTTAGTACTTCGAAGTACATCAGTCAGGCAATACGAGGCAACATGCTCATGTTCAACCCTATCATCTTCCAGAAATACTGCGTTTTGTTTGAATAAATATTACTTAAAGTATATGTCATGATCAACCACATATTTCAATGTCGTCATTCTTTAATTTGCCACCTCACACACACTGCTCAGTGGGTCCATGGGTATGTAAGTGATCGATCGCCTTGTGCATTCAGCCATCCGTTAGTACCGCAAGCAAGGTTCGTTCTATATCTAGGCAGTACATAAATCACGACTATAGAATATGTCTTTTACAGAAGCACGATATATGTGGAACTTTGCCGGCTTTTGGCGTAGGGTAGGTGTGCAGTCTACGCCACAAGCCGGCAAAGTTGCTGTGGGAGTCTGGTAGCATGCAGTACAGTTCACTACATCCTGATTCGCGTCCGCTTCATGCCATCAATCAGTGGTTGGTCATACGGGCGTCGATAAGCTGAAGGTATTTCGTGATTTCCCTCCACATGTGAGTCCACACGTGAGTTTACAGGGGTACTGTTAATAAGCAATCACATTGATAATAGTCACATGTGTCCAGAAATTCTCATAACGCACTGCCTGGCGAAGAGGATCTCGTTGTGTACCATACTCTATATTCAATTCAGCAAATTTCAAGTGTCCTTCAGCAATAACTATGTGCGCTTCAGCAATTCTTATGTGGCTCTCAGCAATTCCTATGTGGTCCTCAGCAATTCTTATGTGGCAATATTTTATCCTCAATAGATATTATATATAGATAGGTAATCTAGATGTATGTGAATGTAATAACAATATAAATATAAAAAATATATAACGTCCACCATTATGCTAATTACGCATCCCATTCGATCGTTTTCGCCGTCTCGTTTTCGGACCTGGCTTCGAAGGGTTCAAGTCGAGTCGACAAACATCAGGTGCTCTTGATAAAGGATCGCTGTCAAGGTCTTGTGGCTGAACTGGTACGACATGGGCCGCGTAGAGCAGCTTGAAGCGCTTCGTTGAGTACACGTCGTCGAAGAATAGCATTGGATCCTGATGAATAGCGTTGTAGCATCTGGTGGCATGGATACAAGGTTTCCTTGTGTCAAACCAAGTGCAGCACTGACATGTTTTTGCTTCCAGGTCGACTAAGCGCCAAACGTGGGTAGTTGTCGAAGTTGGATCGAAGAAAAATGCCAAAAACGATCTCCCCGGCTCGCAAACATCAATATATTGCGAATAGTTAATACCGATATATTTCGCGACTTTTGTTAACAACGTCTGGTACAACTTGAGGTGAACAGGTGTCATTGAGTCGTCAGGCCTGCTTACACTTTTTGATCTACATAACTGTTAGTTGTAGTACTAAAATATATAGATGATACTAGTATACTCTAGAAGATCTGGATACACTTAGATGTATCTAGATGTCTAGTTTACCTAGATACGCTAGACAAACTAGATATGCAACTAATGGTGCATCTATCGGAAGTGGAGCATCGCAGCATCTGTGCTACGTAGCTCGGTTCCCAACCATTGGTTTACCGATTCGCTCATGTTGGATGTGACGTTGCCAAACGTTGGTCTGGGGAATGCATAGGTCACCCAATTCTTCAGAGGGATATGCGATAGGTATACAGCAACAACTATGGATAGAGGATATAATAGCATAGGTAAATGTGTCTTTGCGTACCTGAGCTCATCGATGTTAGCTTTTCCAAGTTCCACACAAACGTGTCGTGGCTGTCAGAGCGTGCCAGTGTGTATACACCAGGGCTTCTTCGGGGCTAGATAAGTGGCGACCAAGCGATGTGTTGATGTTGGCCACAATGTGGCGCATGCAGTATCTGTGTGGAACATCGGGGCACTCAGCGATGCAGGCATTCGTCAGCCCTAGTTATCGAGGACATATACGTCAGACTCCTTGAAACGCATAGAGACTCAAGCACTTGAGGACAGTTCTAGATGTCCAGAATATTCCAAATATATACACTTGTAAATAAGTTTTAGAAACTCTAGAATATTCCAAATATATATATATTTGTGTATATAGAGAAGTTGTAGAATATCTGGACGTAAAGTTCTATAACCTTTCAGGCGATCCGAAACGATTACTGTGGTAGGAATCAGTACTCCAGCATCTTTCAGGCCCAATGATCGCCGTTTTCAACAGGAACGACAGCAATCCCTAATTGATATTAACCAGAGTTTTAGAACTAACAGGTACTGTAAACGTACCAAGAATAAGAAGATGGTTGTTTGGATTCTTCGCCGTAGCAAGCAAGAGGACACCTTTCGAATTCATCAGATCTTTGAGATCTGCACCTATAAAATCTAATGTAAGCAAACGAGGATAAATAACGGCCATATAACGACTACCGTCGAGGGCTATCAAATTTTGGCAGTTTGAAAA